ATGACGCAGTTGATACATGTATCATGTCGTTCGCTAATTGATTTTGAAAAAGGACGTTGAACCTATACTATAATTTTTTAATATCCTACATATCCTTTGGCTAACCTTTCCCTGTTCTGTCTTGTCAGAGAATACAAAAGGAACAAATTATGTTTTACTTGAACTTAGAGAAGAATGTCGAGGTCTCAAAGTAAACGTCGAAACTATTAATAACATATCAGATAATATGCCGATGACACAGTTTTAATAGCAGACTCAGAAAAGAATCTTCAATCGCTTTCAGATGTTGTTGTAACGGAAGGTAAGCTTAAAGGGTTACTGCTGAAGTTTTTAAAAACAGAATGCATGGTAATATCTAACAAACAAAAAAGCAGCATCCCATTTGTAATCTCATAAGCAAATGAGAAAATATCAAACAAGTACAACAGTTTAGATATCTAGGATATATAATAACATCTGAAGCCAAATGTTCAACGAAAATAAAACGAAGAATTACATTGACTAAGGCTAGTTTCAATAAAATTAGCCCAATCCTGAAAAATAGAAACATCTCAATGACTACAAAGATGAAAGTTCTGAAATACTATATATAGACAACCCGTCTATATGGCTTTGAATGCTTGACCAGATATTCAAATTGCTGGACGTGTTTGATCTTTTCGCCTTTGCTGATGAGACACTGGTAGTTTTTGCTTGTAAATAAAACTAAAACAAATCTTGTTATACTTTTAAGTTCAATTCGGACAAATCACATTTTTCTTACAGACATGAAGGGAACGATACATCTTGTTATACTTTTATATACAAAGGAAACAAATCGCATTATACACGTATGCACAATGCAAACCAATGAGTCTATTTCATTAGTACGTACAAAGCAAGCGGCGCGTTAACAAACCCAGACTGATAACATCATTATTATTACGTAAAAGGCTGCAGGTTGGCGCAGTGTGTCCCACTTTTTTTCTTCAGCTTGGGATAATAATAGTGACACTATGTACGTGATCACTCGCCGCTATCAATTAAAATATTTTTCACCTTTTCGTGTTCAAATTCGACTTTCTATTCATACGCTGAAAAAAAACATTTTTAACGTATATTATATTTTTACGACCCCAATTACACAATTTAGACCATTCAGGAGGTGAGCTTCGACACTGCCTGTCACGACCGACCCGGGCTGAGAGGAGTATAATTTTATATACAACGTCCCAGAAAAAAAGATTGAGACACTTGATATTAAAAATCTCCCAACACCCGAATCGAACTTGGGTCTTCTGCGTGCGACAGAGAAGCATCTTATCACTACACCGCAGACGCCGATCATTCATAGACTTACCTTTCCTCCAGTATTGACTCAATGTCTTTTGCCAGTTGTTTGAATCCAAGCCTCTCCAAGATTTTCTCTATTTCTTCGATAGGCATACCATACGTCATTTCTATGGCACCCTGTATAAATAAAGTCAAAAAGTAAGAAAACGTTTTTTCTTAAAAAGGAAACGTAAGAAAAGAAATAGTTTGTTGTTTGTACTATGTTATGTTATAATCTTTTGGAATGCTGTTTACGTTATGATTCAAGCATGCGAGCAATAACCCTCACTTGAAAAACACACACACAAACACACACAAATACACACAAACACACACAAACACACACACACACACACACACACACAC